TTTTTTTCTATATATAATTTTTGTTAAGTATTGTTATTTGACACAAAAAATTTTAATTATTATGTTAAATTTTCCTTTAAAACTCATATATAAAAAAGTCAAAAGATCAAAGGCCAGTAAAATTGAACAAGGAGGTATTACTATTACCAGCAGTTACCTGTCCAGACATTTCTGTTCCGGGCCGAATCCGGCCCGATGTCCAAAAAAGTGGGAAATTTGAAGAAAAATAAATGTAAAGACACAAAAGGCGGCAGAAAACTGCAACGATCTTACCAAGGGGAAAGGAAGATGTACAACAAGAAGTTATGGACTCCCCTCGCCGGAATCATCCGTCGGGTACTCCCGTCGTCGTCTCGCTTCTCACTTTACCCGTCCAAGTCACCAATTCGGTCTTCCGCCGTTTTCTATTTTCCTTCTCACCTGGAAACTCCTAGGGATTTTGCGAACGATACTCTCACTTTTCTCGGAAATCCGAATTCTTTCTCGAGAAGCTTCTGCTTGGAATCCGCCGAGAAAGTTGATGCTACAAATAGGTGCTGGGCCTGTGACGCCGCCGCTGGAACCGCGCCGTTTCTGGTTTGCGACTCGTGCCGTACCATTCAGCCCGTTGATTTCTCCGTCGATTACTTCCAGATTTTCAGACTGTAAGTCTTTGTAATTTCGAAACTGATATCTCAATTCTTCTCCACTTTCAACCATTCCTTGCATTTGCATTTGGAAATTTATCAAACTCATTAATATTATACTGTTTGATTGTTATTTTTGTATGATATTGGTTAGATAAAGGCATTTTCTGTGCTAAAATGGAGTTTTCATGTGAAAATGAGAGAGAGTAAAGGCAAAATGTTTATGAGCTAGACTTATAAAAAATTAGGCAGGAAATATATATAAATTCCATTGAAAAAGACTAAAACATTCTAATTTTTAAAGTATGAATGAGACTAGTTTGGGTTTTCTTGTATTGCTTAATTGAATTGACCTAGTTTGGAATTTCACCTAATTTTTTTCTAGGTTAAGCTAATAAACACTAATTTTGAGGGAGTAAAATGTAGTTTTTTTCCCCCTTTTTGGAGTGTATTGATCATTGGTTGGTATTTCTGTAGTCTGTACTTACCTTATCAATTTTCTTGTATAATTTCTGTATGGGTTTGATACAATTAGGGAAAGGAAATATGATATTGAAGTTGATAGTCTGGAGGGAAAATACAAAGGCTGGCAGAAAAAACTGCATCCTGATCTTGTCCATTCAAAATCCGAGGTCTGTTTCAGAAATATATATTATTTGGTAAAAGATGTAGATTTTTGGATAAAATTTCTATTAAATATATAAAGAAATGAATAATTTGATTTTGATTTCACACCATTGTCTTTGTTAGAAAGAGAGAGGCTTTGCTGCTGAACAATCTGCTCGTGTTATTGATGCATACCACACTCTTACAAAGTCTTTGTCTAGGGCAACATACATAGTAAGTGTATCCTCTAAATATGAGATTTATGTGGTACCTTGCAGGTATTCATTTGCTGTGGTTGATTTCTTAGATTTTACATATAAATATTGTTCCTATATTTAGCTTCAAGTTGTGCTTTTCCTCTTGATTTCAATTTCCCTTGATTGGTATGCTGTCAAATGCTTTGGCTAATTATTATTGGGCTCTATGTCCTGGTATTTGTGTTTCCTTAGAGTTTGTGTGTCTTTATTGTTATAAGCTCTAACAAGTTCCTTTTCATTTTGGTAGACTCATAAATACTGAATCTTTGATTATGGTAGAGCATTTTGCTCATTTAATTTCTTGTAGACACTAAAAGAATCTCGAAATTCTACTTGAGATCTATGTTTTTTTGTCTTTTGGTATGCCTAATAGATATTGTGGGGCAGCTGGTGTCACTATGATTGAGAGGAAACTGATTAAGATTAAGATAAAATATTAGAATGGACATGCTTTTATTCAAATGTTTTGGGATTTGGTTCCAGAGGTAGAAATATATGTTTGTGGCTTGGTGGGCCTCATTAATTGGAATATTGTCAAAATTTTCCTAAGAGAAACGATGCTCACTTGATTATTTACTTCATTCTATCATTTTCTTTATTTGCTTTTTTTTTCACTGCAGTGTTCTCTTTTTCTAAATGTTTTGAACTTATGTATGTTACTTCATTCGCAGTTGAGGCTTGAAGGAATAGATGTAAATGAAGAAGAGACAATTTCTGACCCAGAATTGCTTGGAGAGGTTCTTTATATATCTGGAAATATATTTATTTTATTCTTAGAAATGTAGGTCCTCCTTTTTTCCAACAAATAACTAATATCTTTCGAGTTTTAATCCTGTGCAGATTATGGAAATTAGGGAAGCTGTAGAGGAGGCACCTGACTCACAAGCTTTAAATCAGATTCGATCTCAGGTATAGAGCTC